CAGGTAAATTAAGAACAAAAGAATTGAAAGAGAAATTAGAAGCTAAAAATAATTGTTATGCAAGATATTAAGCTTATATTAATAATGAAATACCATAAGAATTTATAGCAGAAATCAAATAATAATGGGTATAAGATATTATAGAATTATTACCAAGAGATTTAAAGAAATTGGGAGATTAATTAAGTCAAAAATATGTAGAAGAGATGATGAATGAAATAACACATGATTATAATTTGAGTATGAAAAAAGCCATTTTGGATTATGTATTAAAAGATGATGAAGAAAGATTAAGAGTAGGTATAGTAGAAATAATTGATGAAATTCCAGAATATGGATCTGCTGTCTATAAAGGAATAGAACCTAGTGAAGAATGGAAAAAGAAAGTGAATGAAGCTAGAGATGCTATGGTGTAGAATTTGGTAATTAATAGTTAAACAACTCTCTAATTATTGAAAAGTTGGTATGCTAAATATTCAAAAATGAATTTTTTAGTTTTATCATCTGCTAAAGATTAACCCATGAATATTAATTATTTTACTAAAGTTTAATAGGATAGAATTTAGGAAGTGAAGAATCATTTATAAAATGAATGGCATAAAGAAGTAGCTGATCTTTATTAGAAAGAATTACATGTAGCAAATAGAAATAAAAGACATGCTATGTTATTTTTTGAAAGTACTGCTACATTAATGAGTAATTTGTTGAGAACTTAAATTAATGAGAGTTTAATATCGTATAGAAATTTCTTTAAGAGATTTGATAAGAAAATATTGAGAATACCTTAATAAGTTATAGCTGAAGAGGATGATTTTGATAAACCTATTGAAGATGTATTTCTAACTGTTAAACTTAAACATGATGGTAATAAAATTGAATTTGCTGATCATCTTTAAATGAGTATTAAAAATGGGATTTTGAAATTAATTGATGATATATATAAATGTTCTGAGAATTTCTAAAGACCTGAAAATACTATATCAAGAAGTGAAAAAACATCACTTTGGAAAATACCTGAAGATGATGATACCTTTGTTTCAACATATAAAACTATTAATGAAATTTTGGATATTAATTTAAAGAATGTAGAGAGTACTTTAGAAATTTATGAAAAGTATTCATTCTTATTAAAAGAAACAGAAAAAGCAACATAATGGGCAAGTGTTCCTAGAGCAAGAAATGAATTTATTTAAGCATTTAATAATTATTCATAATTATATGAATAAGTAAATGAAGCAATTCCATTTTTTGTACGTGTTAATATGATTTTGGTTGATGGATGTGAAGTAAAGAAAAAGTATTTGGATATCATTTAAGAGATTATTTAATTATTAGAAAGAAATATTCATGATTATATAATGACTACAAATTAAAGAATTAGTAAAGAAATATAAGCACTTTAAGATAATATTTAAGGTAGAGCAGATACTACTGAAAGATTGGTTGAATTAGAAGCAGCTTTAGAGAAAATTAGAAAAACAGAAAATAAAAAAGTATAAAACGATTTTATAGATTTACAAAAGTGGTTGTATTAATTATATACAACTAATTATTAAATTAATGAAGATGATTTAATCTAAATTTCTAATACTTCCAGACTTGTACATTCTTTGATGCTTAAAGTTGATTAAGAAGAAATTCGTATTCAAAAAGATAGAGATTAATTAGAATAATTTATTAGAGAAAGAAGAGAGAAATTTTAACATAATCTTGATGAAATTACTCAGAATATCACTAGATTAAAAACATCTTATACATCTGCTTATTAAGTTAAAGAAGCTAATGATATTGTTGATAATCATATTAAAA